GGCTATACATGGGCCGAGCCGCTAGGGGAGGCCCAGTCCACAAGACCATGCATTGGCCATGCCACCAGTCGATGCCCAGCTTGCAAGACGACGTCGTGTGAAGTATGAGGCAAGTTAGTGTGCCTCATAAGACTGCGTAAGGATCCTCAATGATCTAGGAAATCTGCTCGGATATGCTAGATTACCGTGATATCTATAACTTCCTATCTTGTAAACCAATCAGGATAGAAACAACCGATCTATAACCCTACCCCCCAGGCTATATAAGGTGGGTAGAGACCCCTCGTTTTGATCGGATGATACGCAATACAATCCACAAAGACACAGGACATAGGGTATTACATCAAGCCAACGGCCCGAACCTATCTAATACGCAATACAATCTAGAGGGCAAGATGCCTCTCCCCCAGTGGGGGGGTCAACCCAGGCGACTTCGAAGCGAAGGACTCGAACATAGGGTGAGATGGTCATGTGGCTTCATACCACCAATACAAGCCACCGGAGCCCATCTCATCCTACCCCTATCCCTTTGCGGCCTCGAGCCCATCTAAGGACCGGCCCAAGAGTAAGTTTCCTAAGCACAATGCGGGGTCGTGCTCGCGGTGGGTCGCTCTTGTGCACGGATTCAGGGGTGTGTGACCTCCTTAATCACGTTTCATTGATGGCGCCCATTTGTGAGCGGTGGGGCGCCTTCTGATTGAAGGCGCATAAATCAGAACAGTATGGAAAACGAAAAATGCATAGCACCTACCTGGGTTATCTTGAGGGCGGCCATTGCTTCGCCTTCCACCCAGTCATCATCCCTATTCTGCGAGATTATCATAGTGGTCAATATTGGTCGTGGGCCTAGGTCGCTTGCCGAGGTTATCTTTTGCGGCTATATATCTGTTGGGACGATGTGCAGTGGGAGGTATCTGTTCTCCATCCCTCGCATCGCCTTCTTTTCCTTCCTGCTCACGCTCTTGTAGTCGTCCTTCCTGGTCGAGGTAATGGATCTTGGAAAATGCCGGTGAGAAGAGTCACCTGAGGTCGATGGACCACCGTCACTTCTTCTCTCTTCCCTACAGGATCAAGGGTGAGTGATTCTGCATTGTTTTCTAGGTCTGGTTGTGCTTGCATTAATTGTTCATGTGTCTAGGATCATTCCTCCGGCGGTGGCGTTGGAGATTGGGTGTCCTTTCGGTGCTGCCCATCCCCGGCTGTTCAGCCTCCAGAGCCGGTGAGCCCCCGTCCCCTATCCCTCTCCATCGGGCAGCGAGGTATATGGAACTTTGTGCTCGAGAGGGACAAGATTCGCTGGTTGCATTCGAACTCTGTTCATGAGGTGACTCAGCTAAGGGCCTGTGTGGACTATCTCCAAGCGGCCCTCCAAGTGGCGGAGGAAGAGGTCACCGAGGAGCGGGCACTGGCTACAGCCGCTCGAGTGCGAGCACATGGTAAGTTTTCTATTATTGTTAATTCCTACAGCCAGGTTTTTTTCTCAGATTCTTAGCAGGATTCTCTGGATTGTAGTTCTAGAGGAGTAGCTTGCGGCATCCCATCATGAGGTGGAGGGGGCTCATCCCCAGGAAGGCCCCTCAAGCGAGAATCGCCACCAAGGCGCGGCCCTCGGAGCCCAGCGAGGGGTTGGCTTCAGTGGATGACTTGGCCGCTGCTGCGGAAGCCGCTGCGTCGACCATGAAGACGAGGGATAGTCTTAGCGGATATGGCTAGGTTTCCTAGGTGGCGTTGGGTATTCTTGGTCTGCAGGTCTATGTGCTTCGCCAGTGGGCGAAGTTGTAAGAACTAAATCGCCCGTGCATGTGGCTTATTGGTGGCTTTTTGCTTTTGTTCGTTCGTGCTATCGTGGAGCCCTCGTTATTTCTTAGCTCATCATGGGTGAACTCATGATCTCTACCTAAGGATTGAATTCTTGCGTCACGCGGATACAGGTTGGAGGTCGCGTGTCATGCCGTGCTGGCGGGGGGCCTCACGTACGCTCCCCCTGCGGATTTTGATATTGATCGCTTGTGAGAAGGGGGTCGGTGCGACCAGAAGATGGGTTCCTTCTAAACAAACCGCGTGGATTCTGTATCCCTAAGTTTATTCTACGCTCTATTTTAGCCGGTTAAGTTTGTTGTCGTAACTAAGCGCGTATGCTAATGCAATTGAATAACGAAGAGAGAGAGGATAGATATAACTGGTGCTCATTCAGGAGGTGAATGTTTGCCCTACTGTTGAGGTGAACCCCCTAGCGCTCGCTTGTGGTGGAGTTGTCGTGGTCCCCGGGCTACGAGCTGGTGGGGGCGCTTCTTTATCGCTTGGAGCGGTCGTAGCTGGCGCGAATCATCCTCTCGGGCTGCCTTGGACCGGCCCTTGCCGGCTCGATGTCCCTGGGGATGACTTCTTAGTATTAGGGCTGCTGTAGTTTCTGGCCGGGGATGCTCGTGCATTTTGGTGCTCGAGCCCTGGCAGCGCGATGACGTTGTGGTTGTCGTGTCTCCGCTTCTTCTTGTGGTTGCTACCCTTGACGAAGGGCTAGCATGACATGTCGCTGCAAAAGTAGGTTCTGAGGGTGACACAGTTTGGTCTGCTCTGCTCGGCGCGACGCATGGTGCACTCAGGCAACCTACTTCCACGGATGCACGTGCCTCTGAGTGAAAGCTGACAGTTCGTTAAGGCATGACGAATGGTTTGTCTATCATGTAGGACTGGACCCTAGCTCTGGGCTTGGCCTTGCATGGCATGGCGCCGGGTGGCCACCTTATCGCTAGCGACGACGCCGTGTGGCGGTGGGTGATTTCGTCGCTCGCACGTGCCCTAACACGCTGCGTTCCGCTGGTGACGGAGATGCCGCTCGGGGCATGGTTCTACCGCCGAACCCAAGCTTCCCACGCGGTTGTTCTGGATAGGGTAGAAGCTGGTGATGGGCATTGATCCATTGGCGTGGATGGTCTCGTGGTTCCCCAAAGAGATGTGGCTGGTTGAGGCCATTCCCTAGGTGAATTTGCCATGAGTCGTGGGCCTCTGGCCTCCCGGGTGGAAGACCTAGCCGGTGATGAAAGAGGGCAGTTCCAAAAGTGTGTCCGCCGTAGATCGTGGGTCTAGATCTCCAGAGCAGAGGTCTGGGCCACGACTGAAAGCGGACACGGGCGCTGGCCCTCCGATGTCGATGAACTCGTAGTTTTCGTGACAGATGTGGCCGCCGTGGGCCATTCCATGAGCGAGTCCTCCGACGGTGCGAGGAGCCATCGCTTCCTTCTCAACAATCGAGAGTGCGCAACGGTCCCCTACCTGGCGCGCCAACCGTCGGTGTTTTGTAAACCGGACTAGTAAATTTATACGATTGCCGCGCTGCTCTAGAAAGACGATGGTAGCATCCAAAAGACACGAGGATTTATACTGGTTCAGGCCGGAGCCCTATGTCTAGTCTCAGAGATGATCGAGTGCGTGTTCCTTGCTCGAATGCTCTGAAGTTCTTACAATGGGAGGTGCAAGAATGGTGGAAGAGGTAGGAGAGCTAGAGCTAGGAGATGAACTGCCTAAACGAAAGCTTCAAGAGTCTGGAGATTGTGAAGAATGAGAGAATCGAAGATGATGGTGGGAAGGATGCCCTGGCTGCCCTTATATAGAGTTCGGGGCCAGAGCATGTACAAAAAAGTAGGTTCTCCCGACCAAGGGGGTCGTGAGCCTAAGGGAGGGGCCAAGCTAACTTGGCTTGCAAGCTACGCCGTCTTATGGTGCAAGTCCTGGCGTGGTTATTGTCATGGTTTTGTGCCCACATCGCAGTAAGGTGTGGTGTGATGCTACTGTGCCGGTCGTGGCGGCATTGTAGGCACGATGGTGGTTCGCCAGCCGTCCTACGTGACATGGTCTCCGCCATGGCCTTTGTCATTGCCTCCTGATCTCCTAGGGGCTTCGTACAGGAGTTGGTAGCCGCCCTTAGGTCGTCGATTGCCAGGTTGGCTGGTGGAGTTGGTGGCCACGATCCCGAGCTCTGGGGTCGTGGCTCCCGCCGGTTTGGGTGGTCTCCAAGTCAAGGCCCCCGTCATAGATCCCACCCGTAGTGGGTAGAATCTTACGTGTGTCTTGTTGGACCGTATTTGGATAGTGGGTCGCTGTACTGGCAGTCACCGCCGTGCGGTGTTGTCTTGTCTGTGCTGCGTGGCGCAGGGATGGCGTCTGACCGGACCGAGGTGACTGTTGTCCCCTCAGTCCTTGCAGGGCTAGTGCGGCGTGTCTGCTCTTGTCAGTGCAGGCGCGCTTGGCTGGGTTCGACCTCTCTTCGTTCCTCCCAGGGGCCGGGGCAGCGAGAGGTTGTGGATCCTTGCTTGGTGTGTGGCCAAGTCAGATGGAGGTGGCCGACCCCTGCTCTAGCATTTGGTCTGGTTTAGTTGGCTTAACTGGGCCTCGGTCGTTTGGGCTCTCGCTAGCTGAGGTATCGTGGGCCGCCCAGCCTGCTAACTAATCGATGCCTTAAGACACCCGGGGATCATAACCCCGACAAGTAGCATTGTTCTGATATTGCAACAAGTAATATTTCTAACGTTGCATCTCGCATTGCTTTGTGTTGCAATGGACCGTCCGATAGAAAATTTCCCATCGGACTTTCGTGATGGAGCACGGTGGGTATGGGGCGCGGAGGGTATGGCGGCGTGGCGTGGGATGGCGGCGCGGCGTGGGATGGCGGCGCGGCGGGGGACAGGCCACCGCAAGTGGTGCGGGCGGGCACTCCTATCCTGTTACGCGGCAGTGATAGCCGGATAGGTGCGCTCATTTCTCTATTGAATCGTTACGCGGGTAGGGATAGCAGATGAATCGGACGGCTCCTGTCCCTCCAATCGGATGGCTCCGAGTTGAGTCCGGACGCGTCCTGGTGCCGAACGTTCGGGCGCTAGTCGTCCTAATAAAAAAACATGAATTTTTGGGATAAGTATGTTTCGATTGAAGGATGGCACAACCGGTCGGCATTCTATTCATGTACGTTCCAAATGTTATCAGCATTTGAACCATATTTTGCTCTAAGGTTTGTGGACCAAACATGCCATCAGCGCTATCGCCAGACTGATCATGAAAGACTCAGAACCCTGCAGGCCCCCACAGCATGAATTAGACCAGAAACCAAACATATCAGCTCGAGTGTGTGCTTTCGTTTCGATCGTCAGAGCACAAGATTCTCAGTTACGTACGAATTTACGATCATGATCGATATTACTACTGCATATCTTATCGCGAGGAATGGATTGGGTAATAATAATAACAACGGAAGTAAGCAATGGAAATGAAGGAAAAGAAAGAGTATATATGTATGTAGCTGAGCTGAGAGAGCTTACGAAGATGAGGCCCTTGATGTTGACCTCGGTGATGGTCTCGCCGCTCTCGTCGTCGGCGCCGGCATCAATGGTGGCGCGGAGCCTGTCGACGAAGTCCTGGCGGCCGTCGCGCGCGCGGTCCGCGGCCGGCGCGACGTGCTCGGCCAGCAGCTTGGTGATGAGGCCGTCGAACTGGTGGTGGACCCGCCGCAGCTTCGCCTGCACGCCCTTCAGGTCCAGACGCGCAAGCGCCGGCACGAAGTCGCTGATGTTGAAAAGTCCCGCGCCAGTCAGCAGTGACACGATCATGTCCTTGTACGTTGTACCTGCACGCACAGTCATAGATAATATATGAATTTGAATATTTCACATTCATATTTTGGTGAGCGATTCTATTCACTGACAAGGCCGGTTCAGTTCTTGGAATGGTCAGGAGCGGTTGGTTGCTCGCCAAAGGTTGCCACGCGCCCAGGCCTCGACTGTGGTCAGGAGCCCCCTTAGCCCCCCGTGAATTTTTCAGCCATTAACAACAGGGAAGAAGGTGGTGGAACGCTCCCGACGGAGGTTGAAGATGAGTTTTAAGTTGAAGATGAGTTCCCAGTCCCCCCTAAATGTATTTTCTAGATCTGCCACTGTGCGGCGGGGTATGAGGTTTGAAGGGTTTCTCAGACTGGGTGAGAAGTCATCTACCTTAATGCAAATGCTCGAGGACGCATGCTATCTCCTTGCAGTTCATGTTTTTGTTTGGTTACTGACGCAACCGAGGCTGCTACAAAAGCCGCCACACAGTGTGGTGTAGAAATTTGCCGCCGCAAGTGCGGCACGCGACACCTGCCCTACCTTCGCGTGGCCAATGGTGGCCTATAACCAAACAGGCTCTTAGGCCTTGTTTAAATCCAGAGTATAAAGTTTTGGGGCGTCACATCGGGTGTCACATGGGAGTGTCGTATGAGGTGTTCGGATACTAATAAAAAAACAAATTACAGAATTCGTCAGTAATCCGCGAGATGAATTTATTAAGCCTAATTAATCCACCATTAGCACATGTGTTACTGTAGCACCACATTGTCAAATCATGGACTAATTAGGCTTAAAAGATACGTCTCGTAAATTAGTCATAAACTGTGTAATTAGTTATTTTTTTAAGTCTATATTTAATACTCCATGTGTCCAAACATTCGATAGAACAGAGAGTAAACTTTAGGGGGAACTAAACAAGGCCTTACTCTTCAACCTTCAATCATCACTTACATACTCATGACAGCATGCATGCAGCTTGTTCAACTAAACGACCTCAATTCGATTAAAAGAGAGTTTATTTTAAATTTCTTTCAAACCTAATGTGGCATCAATTACTATTCTTGATAAAAAGAAAATTTTTGATGTCCAATATATGGGCCGTACGTAGCAGGAGATATATGCCCAATAAGCCTCATCACCAGCATGGTTAAAATCATCGCTAAGATGATGGCGAACAGATTGGCGCCACACTTGAATGGGTTGGTGTCGCATGCTCAAAATGCTTTCATCAAGAAAGGGTCATCCAGCTCCTGCACAAGAACAAGAAGCTAGCCAGCTTTGTGTATTAAATTGGACATTTCGAAAGTTAGCAGGAAGTGCCGCAACGGGATATTAGCGATCCTCGTTAATGGTAGACTGACTCAAAATATTCCTCATGCGAGAGGTCAGAGACAAGGCAATCCATTATCACCTTTATTGTTCATCATCGCCATAGACCCATTACAACATATCATCGAACATGCAGCTCAACGGGGTATTCTACACCCGGTTTTGCCCAAGGCCACAAACTTGCGATGCTCTTTGTATGCGGACAATGAGGCCATATTTGCAAACTCGAACGCTACAGAGTTGAAGAATTTTCATAAAATACTAAAGTTCTTCGGAGAATGCTCAGGGCTAAAAATCAACGTGCAAAAGACGGATATCTTTCTGATAAGGGTAGAGCCCGACTTAATACCCTCACTCATCCAGAATTTTCCTGGGAAAATAGGAACTTTTTCAGGAAAATATCTTGGGCTACCACTTCATACAATGAAGCTAAGGAAAGTTGAATTCTAGCCGCTAGTAGATAAGATCGGAGCCAGGCTACCGGGAAAATTATTGTCAACCTCCGGAAGGGAAACATTAGTAAAAACAGTTCTTTTCTCCATTCCAATCTACCACTTCACAGTTTCCAGCGCAAAAAGGGGTGCTCAAAAGGATTGACAGATTATGCTGCAGTTCCCTTTGGCGCAGTGAAACTCCATAGAATGTTACCGGGGGACACTCACTGATAAACTGGCCCACCACATGCCTCCCAAAGGAAAAGGGGGGATTGGTATATATCATGGATTTAGAGAGATTCACAAGAGCTTTCAGATTGAGATGGCTATGGTTCAAGTGGATACAAAAGGAAAGAGCATGGACAAACCTGGAAGTCCCATACGACAAGACCGATCATGAGCTCTTCAACGCTTCAACCATAGTAAATATTAGTGATGGAAAAACAGCTTTGTTCTGCACTTCCTCATGGATTAACGGCACTTCGGCAAAAACAATCGCTCCTAGCTTGTTTCAGAAGATGCGCAGGAAGAAGATTTTAGTGCAAAAGGCTCTAGAAAATAAAAGATGGATTGACCACATATATCCTCTGAATTCACAGGTAGAGAGGTCTGTGAGTTTGTCGACCTCTGGGAGGCCATCAAAGATACACAGTTGATCAACAACGTGGAAGACGATATAAGATGGCGTTGGACAGAAAGTAGAGAGTACACAACAAAAAAACGCTTATGAAATGCAGTTCCAGGGGACCTTTTTCAGACTCAGAATTATGCCAATTTGGAAGGCCAAGACGGAACCAAAATGCAGATTCTTCGCATGGAGACCGCAAACAACTTGATGAAGCGAGGATGGACGGATGAACCCATATGTAAACTCTGTGCAAATGATCAAGAGACACCAACGCACCTGTGTAAAGATTTCCCTTTCACTAAGTGTGGGAGTTGATCAAGATACAATTCGGTTTAACTGACCTCAGCTCCATAAACACAACTGGATCGCTTCATAATTACTGGCGAAGATATAGGAGAAAAGTTGACAAAAATCAAAGATAGCACTTCGACGGGATCATAATCTATTTTTGGTGAAACATCTGAAAAGAGAGGAATAGGCGAACTTTCTAAAAAAAAGTTCGAGCCACGGAGTGTTTCTAGTCTCGGTCTTTTTACCTGTTTCTTTCGAGCAGTTGTTTTTTCTACTGTTCTGTCGGTCTTTTCCGTTTTGTTTAGCAAGTGCTGCTGGGTGTAATTAGGGAGACGTATTGCTCTTTTTTTATATAAACTAATAAAATCCGTGACAAAGTTTTTGCCACCCTTTAAAAAAATATGTTTTTTTTATTTGAAATAAGGGAGATATATACATGATGGTAGCTCTCACCTGTTGGACTCGTCCCCCTGCGCGTCGAACACCCGCTTACTCACTGTGATCTGCCCGACGATGTTGGCGAGGGCGCACACCAGCACCTCCGGCACGACGACGGGCCGCCCGGCCGCGGCGGCCTCCGCCACGCCGCGAAGCAGGTGGCCGGCCTCGTCGCGTCGCACGCGCGCCCCGAGCAGGTGCACGCTGGCGAGCTTCCGCATCAGCTTCCACTTGGGCCCGTAGTTCGCGAACACCATGTTCTGGCACCCGTACGTGATGTCCGCGGCGCTCGCCACCGCCGGCCGGTTGGCGTACTTCGCGTCCAGCGCCTTGAGGAACGTCCTCGCCGCGCCCAGGGACGACGCCACCACCACGCCGGTCGTGCCCATCTTCAGGTACATGATGGGCCCGTACTTACGCGCCAGCGCGGCCAGGCCGGCGTGCGGTGCCGGTCCGACGAGTGGCAGCGCGCCGAGGATCGGTAGCCCCGTTGGGCCCGGCGGGAGGTGGCCCCTGCGGCCGGAGGACGAGGCAGAAGAAGGGTGCAGCAGGGAGCGGAGCGCGACGTGGACTGTGGAGGAGGAGGCAGAGGAAGGCGCAGGAGACCACGACGGGGTCGGTGCATAACGCGGCGAACTGCATGGTGGCGTGCTACTGTGCCAGGGAGGAGGACCTTCCCAAGCTAAGGGTGTCTGCTGCACGACGGCTTAATATTCCTGAGGCGTTGCACCCTGCAACACGCTGCGCTCCTGCGGCTGCGTACATGGAACTAGTGTCATCTTCAAACAAGCTATATATCTACTATGTACTTCATGTATATGATGAGAACTGAAAAGGCCTTGCTTATAGATTCACTGAAATTCAGAGAAGTATCTTATTTAGAGAAAATTTTGATTACATTTTCTTGATATTTCGTACCGTGAAAGATTGGGTTATCTTGCTCATTAGTTCATCTTTCATAAGTGTAATTGTCTTTTGATATAATATGCTGTATGATATCCGAGTGGCATATTTTTTTATGGTTATTTCATAGCGTGTAACCCTACAACTTGATCATGCGGTTTAGCTGCTTCAATGGAGTTCGTGTATGGCGACTCCAGGGGCCTTCTACGACCCTGAAGTTAGTACTACGATGTTCGAGTGGACGACACGTGGTACTAGCTTCGTGGCCGAGGTAAAGTCCATGCAGACGGCAATATAAAACAGTTGTGTAGGCTAATAGAGTGCAAGTAAGGCCCCGCTTAGATTTCAAAAAAAATTACGCAGTACCCGTCATATCGAATCTTGCGGTACATGCATAGAGTACTAAATGTAGACAAAAAAAACTAATTGCACAGTTGGGTAAGAAATCACGAGACGAAACTTTTAAACCTAATTAGTCCATAATTAGACACTAATTGCCAAATACAAACGAAAGTGCTACAGTAGCCAAAATCCAAAAAAAATTGGATCTAAACGGGGCCTAACCAAAATGGTGTGGCCAGCGCCCGCATGTCCAGATGCTAGCCCCCGTCCGAACGCCCCCACCTGTCCTGCCTGCTGCGCTCGCCACGCATGCTGCACCTGCCATGCTTGCCGCGCATGCAGCTGCAACTGTTGCGCCTGCCCGCCCTGCCCCCGCATGCGGTTGCACGCCCATGCCTACTACTGCACATGCAAGTGGGGACTACCCATGCCCGCTTCACTTCCCGCGTGCATGTGAGGATCACCTCCGCATGCGCTCGCTTTCTGCGCCTGCTAATGTTACAATATGAAGCACTTCTGCAACATATGTCTGAAACAGGTGAAACTTTTGAAAATATACACTTGCAAACATATGTGTATAGGCGCTGCAACATATGCAACGTCAAGATAAAACACACGCAACATACGTCTAAAACAGATGAAATATTTTGATTAGACGCTTGCAACATGTGTATAGCCACTGAAACATATGCAACATCCAGATAAAATACTTGCAACATCAGATTAAACATTTTGAATAGACGCCTGCAGCATATCTCTGAAACACTTGCAACAGATGTGCAACATTCCGATCTACTTTTGCAACATCCATATAAAACACTCGCAACATACCTCTTAAACATCTGAAACACTTGAAACATATATTGGCAACATACGGGTCCTCCTACTGTGGTGTCTTTGGCCAACCACGGGAGATAATGTCCTTGCCGACGACGACCTTCTCCAGGTGGCACCGGGGTGGGGTGGCGTGGTGCACCCGTGGCCACGACGAGCGGGCGCAGATTGGGGCACGGCGGTGGATGGTCACGACAGGCGGGCAGAGTGGGGCGGGGCGGTGCTGCGCGGCGCGGCGCAGGATGGGGCGCGCGCGGGGATGGTGGAGTGGGGTGGCGGGGCGCAGGATGGGGGTGGCGGAGTGAGGCGGTCGAGAGATATTTTATTTTTCAGAGAGAGAGAGAGAGCGCGTCTGCAGTCAGATACGCGACGTCCGGATGGGGCGAACGCCCATGGCCGAGCACTATCGTAAACAAAATGTTATGAGGCCGAAAAATGTGGTGACTATACCACGGCTAATCTAGGACGGAGACTCTAGTTTGTGGCCTTATGGACCTGTATGGCTGTATCCGTCACTTGTATGTGGCGTTTTCGACAACAAAATAGTACATCATGTTCAATCTTAATGTCTTAAATGTAATTCCTATCAAACTACCCGTATTGCTTATACTCTGAAATTATACCTCGTTTTGACTTTGTCCAATGTGAAACATCTCTAGTTTGACTATTTTTTTTCAAAAAAGTACATTAACATTGCAAATTTAAATAAGTACACTTTTAGAAAATATTTTATAAAGAATATAATAAAACGAATTTAACATTATAGATATTAGTAAACTTTTTCTATAAACTTGGTAAAAATTAAAAAAAAAAGGTGATTTAGGATAACACCAGAGTAAACTATAATTTGAAACAAGCTTAAAATCTACTACTAATTGTACTGGTTTTGCGTGTGAAAAATGACAGGTAATTAGTTAGGAGGAGAGCCGTTTCGGTTACATGCCTTGAATTAAAGCGTTTGTTCGATTCAGTTGTAGGGTGTAACAAGACCAAAATACAGTAATCCAACCTCCTGAAATTCCAAGCCAAGCTCTTGCCTCCAGTTTAATACTAACTCGAGCCGGGGGGCGGGGAGGTGTCCCCACGGTGTTTCATTAAGAAGATGATTTTTTCACGTAGTTTGAGAAAATCCTTGAACCCCAGACTCACTTATATACAGCGGCACATGCATACCCGTGAGACAGAATGACTACTTTGACGTGGGACATTTTTTATCCTCGAAACTGAAATTCGTCCGTGTGAGAAATCAAACTCAGGAGCGAGGTTGTCGAGACATCAGACATCACACACGAAACAAATTACTATTTGGACAGCACTCTGAGCTCTGAAGCCTTGCACACGCAGTAGTGACGAGGGAATGACGCTTCCGCCGGGGTAGGTCAAATAGTACTTGAAAGAGAGGGACGGCCGGGTCAAGCACGAACAAAAGTAGGTGGATCATTGTCAGTTTGGTCAAGCACGAAGTGATGAATGTACGATATCTATGGGCCGGGGAGGTGTGGGGTTGGTATCCCGAGGTGAGGAAGCACGTCCCGGTTTGGTACTTCGGTGTGGCTTATTATTAACCACCAAGCCGGACGGCCGTGGAATGTGGAATGAATAATGCCACAGCTACATTTTATTTTATACATATACTCCCACTTGTACATCCAGCACCGGGACACGGGCCCATCTCCTACGAGAGAGACGGGGCCATGTTAAAATCAACTGGGCCAGGTAACAAATTTTCAGTCCATGAAGCAAACAAACATACTTTTTTTTTTTATTGATTGTTACGTGCCTGCCGGAGACTAGCAAACGCTACTGCTCTCTACTTCACTGCTAGGAACTCTTTCTAGGCGAAAAGCATCGGGCAGCTTTTACGAGCTGCGACACGTCGACCAAAAGATTCTAGAAGCATGGAAAATTATTTCATGCCGTGGAAGATAATGAATCCTAGGTAGCTAAATGCGTGCTCATGCCGCCCACTGTGACTCCTGACAAGCACACCCTACCCATGATCGAAATAAATACAGGGGGCGAAAAAGGACGTCAAGATTCACTGACAGGATGGTTCGCTGTCCCGTTACCATCCGACGTGCAGCGAGCAGCAGCTCACTGCGAACGTCGCCGTCGCCATCTGTCTGCAGCTGATCCGTTATTTGACTCAATAGTGCAAGTGTTCTGTACGTTCCCACTCTGCACACAGCAGGCATCTTCAAAGCCAACGGTTGCCGTGGCATCACCATCACCAAAATGCACCATCGGAACTGAGAATAAAATTCCCTGCACTTTATTTCTCAATTACATCGGTGGTTGTATCTTGCACACGGTTCATTTACCATACATCCAAACTTTCCTCATCAATTTTTCGTCGTCAGGTACTCTAATAAATGACAGAAACCTCGGGGCAGCTCCTCTTCACTGCCATGATTTTGGAAGTCGCCGCAGTAGAAACTAAACACCTCAGAGTATTGTGCACCTGTTCATGCCAAGAGACGAGAAGATCCTCCTCGCAGAGGGCCACAAGCGGCCAAGAAGCCCAGGCCTCTCTTCCTCGAAGGCGTACTCTGGTTCTCTGGTCGGACTATCCATTGTATTTGCACCTCTATCAGCACTTGTTGCATCATCAGAGCCTCTTGCACCACCTGCGTCCTTTGCACCACCTGCGTCCTTTCTGCCCTCTGATTCCACACCAACTTCGCATATCTCCCCCGGCTTCTTGTCAAAGAGTCCTTTGAACTGCTTCCTCGCCCTCTTTTCAGCTTCCTGGTTTACATATTGTTCATTTGTTGTTAGTTCCAAAGCTTTAACGGTTTGGTTTAATGTTGTTCTGTTGCATACCTGTTCCTTCTGCTTAAGTTTAAGGAGGGCAGCTGTGGCATCCGGTTCTGATGACTTGTCAACGGTAATCATCTATAATAAGAGAATGCGATCACATGTAGATTAGGGCAGTGACACAAATTTAAACATGGCACTCAAGTATGGTGTCACTAACCTTCTCAAAATCATTCCTTGCATCATCGAATTCTCCAAGTAACATGAAGGACGTTCCTCGGCGGTAAAGAGCTTTCACATGCGCAGGATTTGCGTCCAGCACCTGCTCAGAGAGTACATGAAAATATGTTGCTAATTCAGCTTTAGCATCACATAACTTTGCTTTCAAACACCAAAAAAAGCTTCACCAAGCAAACAAAAAGAATCAGATAACAAGTTCACAAACCTATGTGTTACTGAATTGGTAATACCATGCAAAGGCACATATGCAACTGCTGCTAAATTCCAGGCATGTGATTTCACTCCAAGAGAGGATTAAGTACAACTAAACATCCATATGGACACCAGGTGACACCACAATCCTACTTTTGATACAAGTATCAAGAAATTTCTTACCACAAAACCTAAACTAGTTGAAAATATATCTCTTGAACAAATCAATATTCCAAGAGAAACCTTACCTTATTGCATGTTTCAATGGATTTTCTGTATTCACCCATCTTCTGGTAGCAAAAAGCTACATTTAGATGTAGGGAACTCTACATATGTAACAGAAGAGAAAGTGAATAAATCGTTCAGTACTGCTTACTGGAGAGTGCAAGAAAATGGTCAGGTGACCCGTGCATCAAAATGCCTATGGTAAGAGAAAAATTGGAACCGAGTATTATCATCATACTCTTGAATTAGCAAAGATTTTTCCTTCTTCATCATCATGAGGATGCACGTGGTTATATTCCCTAAGCACCTGCATGCACAGAGGTTAGAAGAGCCCATGGTAGCAAAATATTTAAAAATACAGTTTACATTTAAATGTGAAACTATTTCACATCTCAGCAACTTCTTGTATTAGGCAAAATGGAGTTTTGTGGGTTTCTCATAACAAGTTAACAACTGCAAGGAATTGCATGCTAGTTTGTGCTGTCCAGTAAACAGAGGATGAGAGGAATTACCGAATTAGGAAATATGCTATTAATAAGACGGTAAAGGAAAACCTTCAAGATGTAGTGGCGCTATTTAGGTTTTAATTCACTATGGTTCACAGCTCAATCATGACAGAGATAAAGAGAGCTCAGAGGAGAGAAGACGGAGAGGGAGAGAGATGGGATGTGTTTGTCATATCAATTTTTTGTTTGTCATCTTTTAAGATGTATATTAGTTTAATATAAAATAGATCCCATGTTTGTCATTTCCCTATTCTTTAACAGTTTCGCTTTGATCAACTACTATATGACATCTGTAATGAGTGCACTTGTGCATGGGGTGGACCTCTCACCACGAGTCGAGGATGAGGTAATCTGTGATTGGTGGCTTCCGATTAATACTTTGAAAAAGTAGAGTAAAATCGTTGATCACCTTGTTAGCATGGATGATTTGGAGACGACGACAACAACAACATAGCCTTTTAGTCCCAAGCAAGTTGGGGTAGGCTAGAGTTGAAACCCACCAAGAGCCCCAAGTCACGGTCCAGGCACTTCAATAGCTGTTTTCCAAGCACTCCTATTCAAACATAGATCTCTAGGTATATCCCAAGCTTTCAAATCTGTTTTTATTGCCTCCCCCAATATCAATTTCGGTCTTCCTCTATCTCTCATCATATTATTAGCTTGGCTTAGAACTCCACAATGCACCGGTGCCTCTGGAGGTCTCCTTTGGACATGGCCAAACCACCTCAACCGATATTGGACAAGCTTTTCTTCAATTGGTGCTACCTCTAGGCGATCACGTATATCATCGTTCCGAACTCGGTCCATTCTTGTGTGACCGCAAATCCATCGCAACATACGCATTTCTGCAACACTCAGTCATTGAACATGTCGAATCTTTGTAGGCCAACATTCTGCTCCATACAACATAGCCGGCCTAATCGCCGCTCTATAGAACTTGCCTTTTAGCTTTTGTGGTACCCTCTTGTCACAGAGAATGCCAGAAGCTTGTCGCCACTTGATCCACCCTGCTTTGATTCTATGGCTAACGTCCGCATAATTTGGAGACACAGACACGAGTGTTTTAAATGGTGCTGCACCAAGTGTCCACGTTGTTTTTAGAAGAATTTTTTTAAGGGAATGGCTAGTGCAAAAGGTTTGGTGCAGCTTTTGGCTGCTGCCACTTAACGGTTGTTTTAGTTGTTTTGGTCAAGTTTTTTTTTTTTTTTTTGAGTTTTAGGTGTGTATGTTACTTGCACAAGTAATATGTGGTGTAAGTTGTGCCTTGTAAATATTTTCTCTCCTTAATGCAAAGATACAAAGTACACAAGGGGGCGGAGCCTAGTGGAGGGCAAACTGGGACAGCAATTCAATTCAATTATCAAACCAGAGCAAAACTGAACTGTAATAAAAAAGGGCTTCACTCAATATATAATATGATCACAAAACAATAATTCAATTATGATAAGCGACAATTTATGGACTACAAATTGTAGATCCAGTGGAAGCCATACCTTATCATATTTCGCCTTTGCAAGTTCGAACTTTCCTTCTTTAAACAGTCTGTTACCCTGAGAAAAGGCCTCCAGTTTAGAACTAGTTGTTAATCAACTCAAAATAACAAACCAGTCCATGCATATCAAGGACATGTATTTGACAGCAGATACATAATCAACATGTGTCATGTAACTAAGTACTGGTTGAAACATAGGACGAAACCACCAGCAAATTCAGACTCAGCTGACAGACTATGCTTCAAGGCTTTCACATATTTACTACTGACATCTTAAACAAAATTGGCCATCTTCAGAAACATCATTGTATTTTTATCAAGCAATTCAAAACGCAGTTAACAGTTTGCTCATATGAAAACAAAAAAGTAGTAATATAATTCATACAGACATTTTGAAGTATAAACATTTCGGCAAAAATGCACTTATGACAAACTCACTGGGATAAAAGTTTGCACAAGTTGAGCAAAAATGAATTTTAGTCAGTATACCGTGTTCTTTATTTTGTCCACCTCATCCATGATTTCTTCGAAAGTTAAGCCAGTCCAATCCTACAGTACAATTGGACCAGTCGTTAGAAGAAAAAAGAATCAATAGCTAAAACTATAGGAGAAGGAAAACAGAGTGGGAAAATACAAAATATAAACAATAGGTGTAAATACAGATGTTTCCTAAAAAAAGTATAGTTCAGTGTACCAGGCTATGAAATGCTTCCAACAAAAAAGAAACATTAAAAGTAGGGGAAAAGGGAAAGGCATCTACTCTGTGTCTTTGTGGTCTATTCCAAGTAGCACTAGGCCACTAGCTATACATTCTTTTGCTATTTAGCACAATAAACGGATGCATGTAACACAATGGGCAAAACCATCACTAATCAAAATGGGATGTGTGCCAAGAACTGCAAAACTCACCGAAGTCAGAAAAACTATTGATCAATGGCAAACATTGCACAGGAGCAGAATGCGGAGTAACGATTGCTATCATCTCAAAGTGAAATAAGGTCTGTTACCTTGGGCATTTCGAATCCAAGTAGTTCAATTTCCCACTGAACATGAGCTCCTTCAGGAACATTTGCTGGCCTGTTGCAACCAAAAAATATTATTCTGAAAGCCCCATTACAAAAAGGACTCTAATATAATGGTTGGTACAACCTTGGGAACTTATCATATGCAAAATCTGGTGGGCAGGTGACAATAGATTTTTCACCAGGAAGCATTAGCCGAACACACATTTCAAATCCCTCTGGAACCTACAAAATGCTTTGCTGATTTGTAAATTTAACAGCAAAATTTCGTTCAGTAAAATCGTTGTATAATGTGACAGATTAATGTGCTAATATTTACCAAGCCTTCTCCGGAACAGAATTCCAATGGTTCACCATCATTATCGACACGTGTATCATAAAACACTGACTTCGGTTCATCAAGGAGCATGCCCTTATAATGCACTCTTAATAAGCTATCATGAAGAGGACAGTCCATTGGAAATTCACCTGATATTTGTAAGGAAGGCAAAGAAGAAGAATAAGTATAACTATCAAATGACATAATCAAAACAAAGAACATACAATCAATATTAAATGATTTACATTACATCTGCAAGTTTTATTTAGTGAAGAATTTGGAGATTTCTAGTAAAAGAAAATAATAAATAATGGACTAGTTTGCCTAATATTACATTCTTAAAGCTTCCCTGAATATGATCTCAAGTCATCACTGACGGAGCACATCTGAATTTTGGTTGTTTTTAGCGCTATTACTCGGATTGACAGCACAGTCAATAGATAGATCAACTTTTTTATCGAACACGCAGGAGAACTGCGGATCATTTCATTAAGAAGAAAAGATTACATAGAGTACAAGGGGAGAAGAGTCCCCAAACAAACAAACACACACACACTATAACACACAAAGAAACTGTCCATTATTGTGAAACTGGTTGGTGATCAGAAGTTCTGTCGTCCATATTAGCGAAAAAGTGATTAATACAACAAGTTGCAGTGTTTCAAAAAAAAACCCACAAAATCTTGTATGTAGTACAAGATAACCAAACCTGCAAAAAGTTCAATATCAAATTCATCTTTGATATAGACTCAAAATTAGCACATGATGGATAATGCTGGATGGGTTGCTTCTATATTGTTTCTTGACTGAATTTCATTGCTGGCTTACTGTATGTGTAGTACAGAGTACATACATGATAGTTTGACGATTTTTTTTTTAAACAATGCAATATGCTGCATTTGCAAATGGGAATGCCACAACCCCTGGATACAAACCTGACAGCTATATATAAATAACTTTGTTCTAGTTGAAGTAGAAAAGCTGTTGAGGATGGATCCTTTAGAATTCATTTACTTCCCTAGTCTTTAAATTATCTACAAGAGTTAATCTTTCTGCCAATAAAACTAAAAGAAGTTATCTCGCACCACCACACAAATGACAGAAGTGTGTACTTTGGGAAATAAAAATGTTCGAGTTGGGCAGTTGGTGAATTTTGGAAAGAAGAAGTGACCATTGATAGCATTGTTTTGTGAGTGATAAATTGTACTAGGGAAGTGTGCACATGGAAGGTCATAGGAGACACGGAAAAAAACTTGCATCCCCACAAAAAACATACAATTATGAATTATGAATGTGAAACAAAGTATAAGATTATCTACCTTTTCCATCAACTACACGTCGTTTTATTAGGCGACCATCACCAAGCATGTCTCTCACCTGTTAATGCATTCATCACACAACCTTTTTATGTAGTTTAGCATGGAAAGGTCACACCTTTCTTAAGAACAGAATAGAAGGTACATCTAAAAGAAAGATTGTGGTCTTAAGTGGATAATTCAAATGAATCAAAATACTTAGAATCCCCAAATCTCTTTCATCTACATATTTAGCTAGGAGAACCAGTGTAATCTAATATGTCATGAACCACCTGACCAGTGAGCACAGCAAGTGATTTTGGTAACTCAAAGTATTGATGAAGCATATCTGGAAATTTAGAGGTCATAACCTTGTTCCAGTATTAGCACCCAGTTCTCTGCTGCTGATTTTAATCTATCTAGTCAAAAGTTGAAATACACTCTAATTCTAAGTCTCAAGCAATATGTTTCAAAATTCCTTGGTAAATGCATTTTGTTGAATGTATCTACAAAACCATGGAAGAAGCCAAAAAATTGAGGAGACCTACAAATAACACCATTCATGACCATGGAAGACTGCATGACAGTTTCTTAGTGGATGCGGTTGACAGGTGGTGACCCTAGACCCTATCTTCAAACACTTATGCAGATTGGTGAATGGAAGCAAGCAGGTGGATCCACAACATATAACAGTCAATTGGTTCACCTCTCAATTGGTTGTCAAGTTAGTAAAGGGATAACTAGGATGGGTCAATGATCACTGTGACTGGGCCCTGTTTGCCTAATTTGGTGGCCTAAATAGGAATACTGACATGATGGTTAGTGGCTTTGATATGGAACTGTCTGCTAAATGAATGATTTAGAAGGTGAATGTGTGGCTTCAGGGACCTTGTTCTAAAACACCGTTTAAAGAATAAATGCATGGTGCCTTGCCAGTCATAACACACCACAGAATTATTTTCAATGCAGTGTTCTGGTAGACAAAGGATAACCATCTGGTGAAATAAAATAAAGTACAACCATTGACTTCATTATTATCCAATATAGTTTGTTGTTCTTTGAAGAAATAGCCAAAGACAATCATGGGATGTCCTCAAAATACAGCAGTCCCTAATTCTAATTCAAAATTAACAGAGATGAATGAATATGAAGATGGCTAGCAAAATGAAAGGAATAGTTAGCTATGATTGTACCTGGATAAACTGAACCAGTTCAACGTAAAAATGAACTTCTTCAAGGCCTTCAAGCTGTGGCATTAGTGAGGACTTTGTCAAATATGCACTGCTGACAAAAATAATTGCCTTTTCCTTGCGTGCCATTGTTCCAATGCCCATCTCAAGCCCTTTAGGTACCTAAACTAGAACAGTAACAAGGATATTGCAGCAAATAGTAGTTAGGGGGGGAAAAGGAACTTAAATCAAAATGAACCATATATGCTTTTACTGTCATCTAAACCAATTCAGGTCAAGTATAGAATTATATTACAACCAAGAAGATAGCACTACAGATTGTTCCACTGAATTTAATGCTAGATGGCACACAGTTCATGTATATGAAAGGAAAACCTGCGAGCCAAACAGACATCAATGTGCTACAAGCAAACTAGTAAATTTCCATATTATTGTATAATATAACATTATACTCCCTCCGTTCCAAAATGTAGGTTGTTTTAGTTTTTCTCTAAGTCAAACTTTTCTAACTTTGACCAAGTTATAGAAAAACACACCAACATCAAATCGGCTTCCATAATCCTCTAAGAAATATATCTTGATAGTATGTTTGCTTAGTATTTAGATGTCAATATATAGTTTTTATAAACTTGGTCAAAATTAAAACAGTTCAAGATAGGACAAAACAAAAACGACCTATACATTGAAACGGAGGAAGTAACTCGTATGATGAGCACAATGTGTTCTCAATGTATACAGTATTTTTACAATAAAAGAGTCTGAATGAAAACACTATGTATCTTTATACTACTACGAAGTAGATATCCTATGTCCCTATTCATACAACAAGAATATCACTGACCTCAGATTTACCAATAGTAAAGAAATATGCCTCTTCTTTACTCGGAATAATTTCTTTTCCATCTGCTGTTCTTGCAGTCATCCTGGACATGTTAGTTCAGAAAATATTCAGGCAGCTAAAAAAATATTATGATCATAGATTATATGTATGAAGTCATTAGTCTTACATAAATATTTAAACAGAAATGGCAATTGCAGCAGGCAATGAAGATAAGAAGGAAGACTTACATCTATACTGGTTTGTTCAAATACTTTAATTTCCAATAGTGCTCGTACTAGAAAATTGTTAAAGTCCAAGAATATATTACTATATTAGTCACAGGTAGGGATGCATCATGCATATGTATATCTAGCGATCGTTCTAGGTCTTCATTAGTTTAGTTCATTTGCATCCTCTTCTTCTTGCTCTGAGGATCCGTATTAGTTCAATTGGATGAGTTTTGGATCGACCCAATTCATCCAAAGAAAGAAAAACTTGAATCCCTAGTTACATGACCTTAAAAGCATTTTGTGCAGGCTAATGCAACAACAAATGCAACTCAGCAAAGCATTATCGCCCCAGTTAACTTTCCATTCAAATTAATCATTAGATGTTTGTATCATCAAATGTACTAACCTATCTATGTCAATCTGCCAGAAATACACAATATGGGCAATCATGCTGACTGTTTCTAAGCACAGAGATTAAATGGCTAACACAACAAAAGAAAACACATTCCCAAATACCTCAATACAGCCAACACATAGGTGATTAGATGAGTACTTTTCTGCAATTTTGAAACGTAAATATTTACGAGACTTTTCCCTGTGTGCCATTATAAAAGATTGTAATTCCCTATGTGCCCTTGAAAAAATTCAGCGGTCTTCAGCGCCACTACTTCAACTTTTTCGTGTCATCCATGCCACTTCCGTCAGTTTGGGCTCTAACGCCGTCAAACTGCAGGTGTGAAAAGACGAAAATGCCCTTAAGTTCAAATATGTTATTAATTTTTTTTTAGCATCTTAATGACTTCAAATGAAAAAACTCAAAACTAGAAAGTTGTAGATCTCGTCGAGATCTATAATTTTCATATAAATTTTTTTTTTCATTTAATTCCACAAAAAAAAATATGATTTTTCTAAGATATATTAATCATATCAAATCATATTTTTTTTGCGGAATTAAATGAAAAAAAAAATTATATGAAAATTATAGATCTCGACGAGATCTACAACTTTCTAGTTTTGAGTTTTTTCATTTGAAGTCGTTAAGATGCTCAAAAAAATTAATAACATATTTGAACTTAAGGGCATTTTCGTCTTTTCACACTTGCAGTTTGACGGCGTTAACGTCCAAACTGACGGAAGTGGCATGGAGGACACGAAAAAGTTGAAGTAGTGGCGCTGAAGACCGCTGAATTTTTTCAGGGGCACACAGAGGATTACGATCTTTTATAATGGCACACAGGGAAAAGTCTCAATATTTACCGTGCTGTTATTTCATATGGCTCTCTAGGTGTTTCCCATCCCTTGCCTTCTTCAACTATCTGCCGCATTCAAAGGAAAAAAACAGTTTGTCACATAGCTGAAGCATCCAGCCTCACATAGTAGACCACTTATGGAACAAACACACAAAAAAGGAATCTACAATGGCAGTTAAAAACAGCACCAATAACGTTTAAAGAAAACAAAGACTATGCATGATTCCTTTAACAGTACTCTCTCCATTCCAAATTGCAAGTCGTTTTGGCTTTTCTAGGTACATAGCTTTTGCTATGCTCCTAGATATATGCTATGTCTAGATACATAGTAATGTATCTAGAAAATCCAAAATGACTTACAATTTGGAACAGAGTACTAATTTTATGAAGTAAAAGAAATATCTAACAGGTGCTCCAAGAAACCAAGAAAAAAAACATTTTTGCTGCAATGAGATAGGAAAGATGTTCACCTTCTTTACAACCCCTAAATCCTCTGCCACAACCTGACAAAGAAAATAAGCAGAGTAGTTAATCAAAAGTAGCAAATATATTCTTTTAACGCCATGTTGTTCATCAGCCATGGAATCAAGAAATCATCAAGACGGCAGCAGGAGAGAAAATGTGTTTCTTAGTTATGACAACAACCTTGGCAAACAGAGCTTAAGGGAATCAAAACCAGAATTGCACTAAAAATGCTTGTTTTCACGGAATAGTTAGCCTCAACAGCTTTCATATTAGCTGTGATATTATCCAGATAAAATAGAAAACCAAATCCTTACTATTGATAAATAGTTACAGTTTCTTATGTGATGAATATAGTTGTGTTTTACTACTTAATGAGACACTACAACAACAACAACAACAACAACTGTTAGAATTAATTACTCCTTTATGTAATCCCCTAGCTTCCTGTGCCGCCTGCTTGGCTGGACAGGCCCCTTCACACTCGGCTGGCCCCTTGGGCCACCCTCCTGTAATCCCTATATATGTAAACACTCTACAATCTATCTATGATTATCCAAAAGCCTGTTGGCTTAACTCTCTATCATGGTATCAACCGACTAATCTGGTCCTGTGCCCGTTCCCCTGCTTCCGCTTTTTCCTGGAACCCGCGCTCGGCGCTTCGACCGCCGCGCCCGCGTCGCCTCTTCGTGCGCGCGCGCCTTCACGGCCGCCGCGCGCCTCTCGACGACCCCCGCGCGCCCTTGACTGCAGCAGCGCGCGCCCCTTCGACGGCCACCGCGCGCGCCCCTTCGTCGGCCACCACGCGCGCCCCGTCTGCTGCCGCCCATGGCTGCCGGCGATTCCTCCAGCTCTGGCGCCTCATTTTGCGCGCAGCAAGAAGGCAAACTTCGCGATGAAGCTATCGCCACCGCTAAGAAATCGGAAGACGAGGCCATTTGCTCTGCAGTCCTCCAACGCCGCCGCGATCGGCTCCTTCAAGAGGAGGCGGACCTTCTCAAGTCTGCCGCCGCCGCCAGAACGCAGCGTCGCGCGCGCGCCGCGCCGCTCGACGACGACCGCGCAGCAGAAGCGACGAGCGAGCGACAGAGCCTCTCGCCTCCGCGACCGGCTTCACGCTGAGTCCCTCCGCGACGACACCTTCGAAGATGACGACACGCGCTCCATCACCTCTGAGGCCGCGGCCATCGCTCACCTTCATAGCCAGGCCGCCGCCGTGCAGAACATCAAGAATTTGATCCCCATCGTCCTTGATCTGCAGTCCTCCAACTACTCCAAATGGCGTGGTATACGTCCTTTCGCCCCTCGGCCGCTTCATACGAAGGACCATGTCCTCAGCGACGTTCCTCGCCCCTGTGATGCGACATGGTCTCGCATGGACTGCGTCGTCGTCTCATGGATCTTCAACACCATCTCCCCCGACCTCCTTGACGTCGTTCACGAGCGCGACGGCCTCACTGCTCGGGCAGCATGGCTCGGCCTCGAACAGCAGTTCTTCAACAACCGCGAATCACGCGCCATGCTCCTCGATGCCGAAGTTTCGCACCCTTCCGCCAGGCGCCTCTCCATCGGCGAATCATCGCCGCAAGATGAAGAGTATGGCAGATGCGCTTGCCGACCTTGGCGAGCCCGTTCTCGACCGCACGCTGGTGCTGAACGTCCTGCGCGGACTCAATGAACGATTCCAGTTCATGTCGCAGCTCATCACTCGACAGAGGCCATTCCCTCCTTCGCGACGTCGTGCGTTTGATCTACGCCTTCTTGAACTCAACATGGTGCCGCTTTCAAGACCGCATCATCACCCTCGTCGCCTCATCGTCCAAGCAAGCGGCCCGCTACTCCCCGCCCTCGCTCCTCCTCCACGTCCTCATCGGACTACCGGGGTAGCTGTTCGCCACTGAGAGCGGTCATGGTTGTCGTCGTCATGCGTGGGACGCGCAAAGCGGTGCATGTATGGCGGCTCGCCAAGCCAAGAACAACACCCAGTGCCCAAGAAGCACCAGCGGTCGCGAGTAGCCTTCCATGTTCAACCCATGGACCGGGTCCATCCATATGTGGCCCGGGTCCACTCCTGGCGGTCCTCGCGGTCCACCGCCTCGCACCGTCCCGCCTCCATCACCGCATGAAGAAGCCCCTAGTGGTGGTGTGCCCCGGTTACTTCACTCCACCGCCAAACCCCGGGGCATACTACCAGGCACCCCAGCAAGCGCCCTCTCCTACTTGGTCGCCATGGACTACTGAGTCCCTCGCCAACGCCTTCAGCACCGTCTCCCTGACTCCGCCATCGGGCTCCTCGGACTGGGTTATTGACTCCGGTGCTTCCTCTCACATTGCCTCCAACTCTGGTATGGTCACAGCTTCACCATCTTCTTTCTTTCCATCCTCCATTGTTGTTGGCAACGGCGCCACTCTCCCAGTCGTTGGCACTGGTTTCTCCATCCTTCCTGGCCCGTTTCGCCTCAATAATGTCCTTATAGCTCCTGATATTATTAAAAATCTGCTTTCCGTTCGCAAGTTCACAACTGACAATTCTGTTTCAGTTGAATTTGACCCTCTTGGTGTTTCTGTGAAGGATCTGCATTCCAAGAACACCCTCCTTCGATGTAACAGCCAGGGACCTCTCTACACCTTGCAGCTGCCTGTGTCCTCCTCCGGTCCCTGCGCACTGGTGACTACTCCCTCCCAAACTACCTGGCATCGCAGTCTCGGTCACCCTGGCAAGGCTGCTCTTCAGAGTCTTGCTCCGTCCTCTTCCATCATCTACAGCAAGCCTGACGCCGACTCCCTCTGCCATGCGTGTCAACTTGGACGCCATGCTCGTTTACCTTTTACTAGTTCCTCTTCTAGAGCAGCTCAGAATTTTGATTTGGTGCATTGTGATTTGTGGACATCACCTATTACCAGTGTATCCGGTTTCAAATATTACCTTGTTATCCTCGATGACTGCTCTCATTTCCTTTGGACCTTTCCACTTCGGTTCAAGTCTGACACTTTTCCTACTATTTCCAACTTTTTTGCTCATGTAAGAACTCAGTTCGGCTGCACCATCAAAACAGTACAGTGTGACAACGGCCGTGAGTTTGACAACTCCGCCTCCCGTGCATTCTTTCTTGCCAAAGGCGTTTCTCTTCGTATGTCCTGTCCCTATACATCTCAACAAAATGGGAAAGCCGAGCGCATGATTCGCACCACTAACAATGTCACCCGAACCCTCCTCTTTCAGGCTTCCATGCCACCTTCCTACTGGGCTGATGCCCTTGCCACTGCTACTCTCCTCTTGAATCGACTCCCTACCAAGACGCTGCACATGAGCACTCCCTTCTTTGCGCTCTATGGCACCCACCCCTCGTACCATAACCTACGAGCTTTCGGGTGCACCTGTTATCCCAATCTCACCGCCACAACACCCCACAAACTTGCTCCACGCTCCGCTCTATGTGTGTTCATCGGCTACTCGCCTGATCACAAGGGCTACAGGTGCCTCGATCTCGCCACCAACCGGGTCATCGTTTCCCGGCATGTTGTTTTCGATGAAACAATTTTTCCGTTCTCCCTTCGCCGATCCTCACCTCCTCCACAGGAGCTTGATTTTCTAACTAACGATGACCCCCTACCAGTTTTTCCTTTACCTACAGGTACCCCTGGTCTTGCTGGCACTGTGCCAGCATCCACTTCACGTACCTGCTCCCAGACATCGCCATCACCACCCTCATTGGCCGGATCGGGCGCTCCCAAGCATCAGATCGCCTCCACCGAGCTTCCCGTCCTCGCCGCTTGTTGCTTTCGCCCGGTGGTTGGATCGCGACGCTTGCCCCCCCGGCGCCAGATTCTGGCGCCCGGCAACCCAGTGCCCCGGCTCCTCGCGTCAGCGCCCGGTGCTGCTGCGCCTCCAGCACCATATCCGGTGCCGAACCCGCACTTCCCGGCGCCTCCGGCTCCCTACTTCAACAAGCCTCCCGTCACTCACGTGTACTCCAGGCGCCTCCCCGCTTCTGGCTCATCCGCTGCACCCGCTGCGGAGGCCCCTCTTCGACGCTCCAGCATTGTTCCCTCCCCGCCGCGCTATGTCAAGCACGGCCCTCCGGTTCCGACAACGGCTGTCCCCATCCCTCCGGTCGCCAACTCTCATGGCATGGCGACCCGCGGGAAGTCCGGGTATCGGCAGCCTCGTCTCGCCCTACATATCGAGGCCCCATCACCGATCATGCGTCTGTCTGTCGCGACGCTCTTGTTAATCCGCCTTTGGCGTTGTGCCATGGAAGAAGAACATCTTCGCTTCTCTGGACAACCACACGTGGGACCTTGTTTCTCGTCCGGCCAAGGCAAATGTGGTCACCGGAAAATGGATTTTCAAACACAAGTTTCATCGTCGATGGCTCCTTGGGATGATACAAGGCTCGTTGGGTCCTTCGCGGATTTACACAAATACCGGTGTTGATTACGACGAGACTTTCAGCCACTGTCGTCAAACCACCCACGATTCGTACTGTTCTCACCTTGGCACACTCTCGGATTGGCCCATTCATCAACTCGACGTGAAGAATGCTTTCCTCCATGGGACTTTGTCGAAACCGCGTCATCGCTCTCACCCACCGGGTTTCTTGACCTCGCTTTCCCGTGAACATGTCTCAGAAGCTCAACAAGTCCCCTCTACGGGTCAAGCAGCGCTACAATGCGTGGTACAATGCGTGATTTGCTACTTATCTCGCTTTCGGTTTGGGTTTTCATGAAGCAAAGTCGACACCTCCTATTCATACACCACGCGGCGCCGAGCCGCAGACAAGATACCTGCTCTCGTATGTGGATGACATCGTCCTCATCGCTTGCCTCTCGCCAGCTCCTCCGTGTGATTGATTGCTGCTCAAGAAGGCGTTTGCCATGAAAGACCTTGGTCCCTTGCATCACTTCCTCGGCGTGGCAGTTCAGCGACACAGGGACACTCTCATCCTCTCACAGTGGCAATACACCCTGGACATTCTGGAACGCCATGGTATGAGTGGCTGCAATCCCTGCTCTACCCCGTTGACACTTGTGCCAAGGTCTCCGCAGATGTTGCCCCCCCGTGGATGATCCCACCGCCTACCGCATCTTACAGTGCCCTCCAAGATGCCAGCGTTCACTCGCCTACGACATTGCATATGCCGCCCGGCAAATCTGCCTTCACATGCATGATCCTCGCGAGACTCACCTGACTGCTATCAAGCGGATCCTTCGCTACCTTCAGGGCACCATCAGCTATGGCATGATCATCCCCCGGTCTGCTCCAACTCAGCTTGTCGTCTACATCGATGATCGATTGGGCGGGCCGCCGGACACTCGCCGCTCCACCTCCGTTCGTTGTCTTCCTCGGTGGCGCCTCATCTCTCTGGTCGTCCAAAAGGCAACCCTCGTCTCTCGGCCGAAAGTCAAAGCAGATACCGTCGTCTTTGTTATAGCGGTGTCGCCAAGTCTCATGGTCTGCGACAACTTCTCAGAGCCGCACCACCCTCAAGATCGCCTCCCCTCGTCATGCGACAATGTCGGCCGCCGTCTACCTCTCCACCAACCCCGTTCAGCATCAACGCACCAAGCACGTGGAAATCGACCTTCACTTTGTCCGTGAACGGGTCGCCCTTGGAGCTGTCCGCGTCCTCCACGTTCCTACAACGTCGCAGTACGCAGATGTCTTCACCAAGGGGCTCCCCTCCTCTGTCTTCACAGAATTTCGCTCCAGTCTGAATGTTCGTTCAATCGACGTTCCGACTGCGGGGGGGTGTTAGAATTAATTACTCCTTTATGTAATCCGCTAGCTTCCTGTGCCGCCTGCTTGGCTGGACAGGCCCCTTCACACTCGGCTGGCCCCTTGGGCCACCCTCCTGTAATCCCTATATATGTAAACACTCTACAATCTATCTATGATTATCCAAAAGCATGTTGGCTTAACTCTCTATCAACAACAACAAAGCCTTTAAGTCCCAAACAAGTTGGGGTAGGCTACTTAATGAGACACTGACAAAAAAAAAGAAAACTATATACTAAATTAATAAGAAGTAAAAACAAAAAATGATACGGCACGCAAACAACCAAATTAGATACCCTGCTATCTTGCGCACTGAGTCTTACTTGTATTGATGGTATTACTTTTTGTATATATTGCATAATGTTTTTGAAATCATACCATGCTGTAGAAAAAAATTTTAAAATAGACAAGAAAACTATTTGCCAGAAGTTCTCTGACATTAATGAAATATACATCAGTTGAAGTCATACTCAAGTCATCATTTAAAGAGATTAACCTTCGCTTTAAAGAAATCCAACATTTCAATCTCAAATTGAAGTTCATCATCTTTCGGAAAGCCATCTGGAGCTGCAACCGGACAATCATCCTCAGCGTAGTGAATTTTAGGCTGCATTTTGAACTGAAAAAAAAATGTAAGAGAGAAAGAAAAAGAGACGAAAATGACTAAATAATATGCGCATGTATTATTGTTGACATGTGCATTTTTGAATTGCTGCATTCTCCATGAAACTGAGTAGTGTCTTTTTATTAGAAATACCATAGCAATTTCACCCTTCAGCATTGTTGGGAAGCCTTCAGCAAATCCTAGGATCATCTTGCTCTTCCCTAAGACAAATCTGAGTGGGATTCCTTTACCTGTAAATTATAACAATAGTAACGAAGATGATTCGAAGAATCAGTAATTGAATTGAATAGGCATATAGATGGGACAAACATTTGAGGTGCAAAATTCATGCGACAGTTTGTTGTAAGATACAAATATTACAGAAAAGATTCAGATAAAAAAGTATTACAGAAAAGACATAGTAATGTAATATATTGTTCCAGAGGATGTAAGGAAGCACAGCACAGGACAGGTGTTTTCCAAAACACACACATATGTGCCAACAAAAACACCAAAACAGGATGCTTGCAACATAAAATTTAAATTGTGAGTTGTGAAATGCAAGCAGGAAACCACATCTCAGAACAGAGGGGGAAACCATACTATAATTAATATGAAAACAGGATATGCAAGCAACAATATTTGAAGATACTGCAGTATACATAGTGGTGAAATGTGCTCAGAGATATTGCAACACCTCCGTGCTCCCTTCTTGTAGAATTGACAATAATACCATCCATCGTCCGAGTAGTGCAATGAAGTATAACCTGCACAATTATTACAATGAGAATAATTTAATTTGACCACCTAAAATTCCTTGTGCCCACAGAAATAAAAACAGGACTGTGCGAGGTCATTATGAGGGTCAGCAAAAAGTGCAGTCATCAACAATGTAAAATGCCTAGTCCTGAAAAAAAAAGAATCTATGATGTGTAGGCTGTATGAACAATCCAACAGAAGAGTTTCATTTAACCATTAGGATAAGTTCTGTTAACGCGCATTTACAGGACATAGTAGAAAATGACAGTTTATGGAGGATCTTGGCATTACATCAAAAACTTGCCCCAGAAATAGGGTCATTGTATGTAACAATCAATAGCTAATTGCACCAATTGTTGGGTGATTAACTCAATCAAGTATAACTAAAGTTCCAAACACATTACACAGTGCTCGGCTGCACAGACAAACACACGTTCCTGTTTGTATGTACTTCCACAATTTCATTGCACTATATACGAAGGGGGAAAGGGCAGGCAGTGGTTGCAACCTGATCGCCCTCTGCAGGGGTGGCATCACCGCTCCCAGACCGTATGATGCCCTTCATCAAGCTCCCAGGTGTAAGCTTCTTCCTCCTGCAGTGCAACAGAAACATGGCGTGATGTGTTGATCACAAGCAAGCAGCAGCAGTTCAACGAACGAAAGGAATGCCTGAATTGCAAAATTCTACAACCGGATTTCGACCCTGTATGCTTCAGAATCCCGAGGGGGGCGAACTGGGACTGACCTCTTCTCGGCCTCCTCCTCGGAGGGCGACTTCTTCTTCGCGGGCGGCGGGAGTTCGCAGCCGCTGTCGCCGGCATCGTGAGCCATGGCCGAAGCTAGCTTCCGGGCAGGTTCTCACCGGCCGCCGCGTCGGAACGGGGGAGGGGGAGAGGTAGGGCAAGGGAATACTTCGCTAATCAAGGCCGCCGCTGTCCGTGCGTGAGCGTAGCTGCGCATTAATGGCCGGGATGCGGAGCAGTTGCGATAGCAGCAGCCAGCACCTTGGAGTTGGAAGAAGCGGGTGGATGGGAGTGGGATGGTGGTGGACTCGCCGGTCGCCGGCGGAGAGTCCAACGAAGCATCGCTCGCTGTCGCTGCTACCTTCCTTTGACTTGGGTCTCGTGCTTCAATGGGCCCTGCCTCCATTGGGCTGCAGGCTGCCTATACCCAGGCCGTTATCTCAAATGGGCCGTTGCACGTCTCGCTCAGGCCTATCCCGCTCCTTGCGCCCCGAACAAGAGAATGCCTCCTCGCCTCCTCCCGTCACAAAGACACCGCGCCGGCCACCCCTGGCCCCGTCCTGCCGTCCGGCCGCCAGCCCGCCACCGCGCCGGGGAGGCTTGAGCAGGCCCTCCGCACCTCCGCGGCCTCCCTCCGCCTCCCTTCGAGCAGGCCAGAACGGCAGCACCACGCCGGCCGCCGGCCGCCCTCCGCAGTTCCGAGCAGGCGCGCGCGCAGGCCACCCCTGGCCCTGTCCGGCCGTCTGCCCCAGCGTCGCGTAGCCGCGTGGCCGCGTGACTCGTGAGTCGTCCGCCCCTGCCCTACGTGAGCGCTGAGCGGTGAGCAGATTTTTTTTTTTTCTTTTTCACTTTCTCTATTCAATTTCCATTGAATATTTCAATTGGATTGAAAAAAATTAAAAGTGAAGTCAGAAATATGGACGATGGATTTACATGATCCGTAGTTTTCATCGATATATAGAGGCCCTAGTCTTGAGAGAATCCTGGATCCGCCAACTGAACAGAAACCACCGCGTTGATTGATACAGGCCGGTGATAGCTACCTACTTTGGCATTCCACAGAAGATGGGAATCAGCAATGCAGATTGTTCCCGGGGATTAGGATAGAAGTCAATATCGGGATTAGGATAGCAGTCAATATGGGGACTAGGATAGCAAGTCAATATCAGTTCTTGAGGGGACGTGGAATTTTTCTTTTATGTTCATTCTGTTTTAGAACAGCTTTGAAGCTCATGTAACATCACTTTCCTGAAATTCGCAGCATGGACCATCTTCTTCATCTTGTGCACGTCAAGATTCTTGCTGCGGACCTTCTCTCTTTAACCAGACAGCACACTTCACCACCGGCGTTTCTCCGCTGTGGCCGTACGGTTGCTCGTGCAGAGCTTGTTGGAATTGTTGTCTCGCGTGACCTCAGGGAGAAGTTCCTCAGCTTCGTGATCGATGATGGCACTGGGTGTGTACCGTGCATCCTGTGGTTAAACCACCAATACTTGAATGCTAGCACATCCTCTGGGTCATCAGAATTTGATCCTACTACGGAGATGGCGTTGAAAATGTCAGAGGAGGTGCGTGTAGGCACTCTTTTGAGGGTCCGAGGAAAGATTGCCACATATAGTGGTGCGATCCAGATTACTGTTAGAGATGTGGTTGTGGAGAAGGACCTGAATTCGGAGGTGTTGCATTGGTTACAATGTGTTAGCTTGGCCAAGGAGTGCTATGATCCGCCACCACCTTCTGCTCAAGGTGGCACTTGAATGGGGTTTATCATATGTAATATGTACAAGTTTATCACTGCACTTGCTGGAGACAATCTCTTCTAATGTGATCAAGTTGTGCATTATAAGCCTTGTTAATGAAATACATAAATATTTATATTGGTTGCCGGTGGTCAGGTCGTTTCTCAATGTATATCAGGTGATTTTTTCTGGTGTTAGCTCGTAACCTCCTTATACCCTCTAGGCAGGGTAAGGAGGTTGTTTTGATATTGATTATCCTCCCTTTTTCTCCCTTTATTAATGTTATGGCAAGTGGATTTTCATAACAGTTAATACAAAGATTCCAGCTCTCATGCGTGTTCGAAAAGAAAAAAAATATTAGTTCCACAGGATTTACTTTGATTTAGTACTAGCTAGGCTATTTACAAACTGCAATTGTGTTAAAAAGTCTAGTGCAGAGGCATCTAGTGGTAAGATTCCACACTTGGGACCAGACAATATCCATTTGCCCAGAGATGGTTGTGTTTATGTTTCAGTTCGAAGACAAACTTTTATTTTTGGTTCTCACTTATCAGTTTAAGTGTTTATTTTTCTGAATGGCACTATGACTACTATATCATTTCAGATTTTGTTCATTGAAGTATGTGCTTCAGTACTCGGTATGGATGCCTTGCAGGAAGTTCTTAGGATTCTTTACTCCTTCCTCCCATTCAATATTTTCTGGCAATGGTAGTACCATTCAACCTGCACCTAAAGGGATATAATAATTGATAGCATTATGGCTTCTGAGGAGCTTAGCAAGGCTTAAGCCAAGTGTGCAACAGCAAAATCACACTTTTTTTCTTTTTCTTTTTTTCTTTTGCGTATTTGTAGAGAAGAAACAAGCTTCCTGTCAACAATGAAGAAAGTGGAAATAGGTGATGTACACTATGATTGATCCGTGTAAGAAAAAAACTATTTTCACTGTTTTCTTGAGGTTTCCAATGTCAGAAGTGTTCCAATTCTTGGTTTTATATATCATGTATGGATTGCTGGGTCTGCATGTTGTGATGTTGATGGAACAACAACTTAAACAAACCCAAGTCGAGTATAATTTTGTATCCTCCCTTACTGTTCTATATTGGATCACTTCACATTTGCTGAATGATATTTCGATGTTTCCTTTCGGAGGCTACTGTATTTGAATGTTGTTTGTTATGGAAGAAAAAGAGGATATTCTGGCACTATACAATACCAAGTTTTTATTATCTTGCAAAGCAGCTAAATGTTGCTGGCAGATTTCCAATCACAATCTCCTTTGGATCCCTTTTCCCTTTCTTTGATTGTGTGCCAAAAGAAGTGCCATCTTTCACCATAAGGCCTTACATTTTCTGATTTTTGATGGTGACAAACTGACAATCCATTCCAAGTCAACTTTAAGAGTGTCTTTTCCTTTTCTGCAGGTCTGGAAATCCCTTGGACCAAACGAAGAAACTAAGGCAATCTACACATCCTCTTTGGACATGTGGAAATTATGGCTTTATCTTTACTTATGCCATGTCATTGGAGTTGGAATCTGTTTAAATTCTAAAACATCCTTGGCTTTTCATCACACACAACTTAACAAGAGATGTAAAGTAGCATGGTATTGCGATGTCGTCCCTGAAGTATCTGTCACTCACTTTGAGTTTAAGCACTCAGTTCTTATTTCTGTCACAACTGCAAGAAGAATCCTGCATTGTTCGAAGTATTTGCTACCTTCTCATTGTAATGCATTGTTCTTCTCTATAAAGACAGATTTTATATTTAGTAACATCGCCTATTAGGATAGCATTCTCTTTTATTTCTTCAAGGACAGCATTCTTTTGGTGGATAGAAGTTACAGCATAGTCATAACTTTAAGAAAACACGTTGTCTTTAGAGGTCATGGACAACTTTTGATCCAGAATGGACCCATTGGGTTCAGAAAGTCGGCATCTTCTGATGATTCCCACTTGCCTTTTTCTCCTCCTCTGCTTCTTTATCCATGGAGATCTAAATCTTTACATCAGAATCTGCTGAGACCACCTCAAGAGAGGCATATCAAAAGAGGAGCTCACCAGTACAATCATTGCTGGCAACATTCTTCAGTCACTTGGTTGATTCCCTGCATATGCACTTCCCTACAGGCTTCCTTTCTAGCACGCCCTAGAGACATCCCATGTTATTGTGCTGCTAGTAAATTGTCCAATCTTCTACACTGTCCTTTCTAACATTTCAGTATGCTGCTCACATGCTTTTGGATACATTGATGGCAGATCGTTTATGTTCAGAAATATGTTAGGTTGTTATCATGCATGCTTATAATCGCATATGCAAAATGGAATTCTCTCATTATATAGTCTCAAAATGAATATTAGAATATTTTTTTTGTTTGATATTTGTGTCTGTATATGTACGCCTGACCCTTCTGTCCCTTGGTGGAATGTGCATGAATGAGGAGGTTGAGCTAAATAATGTGTTTGGTGTACCATAAACAATACCGTGTTTGTTTACATTTTATACGTAATTTCAGGTTTGGAAATAAGCTCTAAAGGGTACACATTTTATACGTCATTATTATTTCTACCCAGGGGATCAATAAAAATCCCGAGATCTTTGGATAAGCAGGAATCCTGAAAACTAAATGAAAGATATGTTCAAGACAAGGTTGCCAACTGCATGATGGCTCTCTCTCTCTCACTGATTCCCCTCTCAACGTCTCGCCTCCCCTCAACCCCACGCCGGAGCTCACTCCGAGCCCGTCGACCACCATCCCCTGTTCTTCCCCCAGGACGTCGGTCTCCACCCCCTCCTTGTCTTCTCTGGAACCTTCCTTCCCCAGCACGTATGGGCGCTCCAAGCAGGAGCGCTGGGGCGACTCCAGCCCGGTGTCTTTGGATGACGACGGGGCGCCTCCCTCTGTCGATGTTTCGAGTAAACACCGGCTAGTAAATTTGTATATTGCACGTCTGACCTAGATGGCGTGCTAAGAGGACACAAGGAATATACTGGTTCGGACCGAATGTCCCTACGTCCAGTTTCGAGCTGCTCGCGTTACTAGCACTTAGTTTGTAGTAGGGGGTTACAAACTGACGAGAGAGGGAGGTAACTCCCAAGTCTCTGGTGTGACACGGTGTGTTTGTTCGATGATTCGCTGTCCCTTTAGCGGGATGCCCTACTTTCCCTTTTATAGGTCAAGGGGAAGCAGGGGTTTTTAACCGAAGGGAGGAGGAACAAGGAAAGAAAAAATCAGGCTCCCGGAGGTGCGCCGTCCTCCTCTTCGCATGGGTCCCGCTGACCCTGTAGATCGTGATGGCAGCGGCGTCGTACCGGGGTCCTATTGGCCGCTGCAGCTTATGTGCGGGCGTCGTGCGCCATTCTTGTCTTCCGTCCCATCCAAGCGGACAGAATGGTTAGAGGGTCTCCTGACAGAAAACCATGCGGGGGCTAGCGGTACAGTGCCAGTCAACTGACGCCGGTTGACTGACATTGGACGGTGGTCAGGCAAGGAGTTGACAGCACAGTGACCACGCGTCAGTCACTGTGGGCGATGTGAGTTCCCCGGAATGACATGTCGTGGGGACGGATCATGCTGAGATGTGACCTGTCGGTGCAGAAAGTGACCAACACGTAAATATTTATAGTTTTATTGTACGTTGTGATCGAAGATGGTCTAGCACTCAATGACACAGGGTTTATACTGGTTCAGGCAACGTGCCCTACGTCCAGTTTGAGTCGGTCGGTGACTTTATTCCTGAGCACAGGTGCTCGAAGTTTGCTGTGGGGTTACAAACGGAAGGGAGAAAGATGGAGGGTACAAGAGATCCGGTCGGACACTGGTCTGAAGGGCCGAGAGTGACTAGAGCTCCGCTATGTGCTAAGTGTTCGAGCGTGTGCTCGAGGTTTGAACCTGGTGGTTCTGTTGTTGTGTGTTGAATCAACGTAAGTGAACTGATTTTCTCTCCCCTTTTGGGAGAGAGCACATCCCCTTTTATAGATGAAGGGGATGGCCTTACAAGTGAGAGAGGGAGAGTGTACGTATGCTAAGTCCTGTTGCCCACGTCGTTGGGTACAAGATGATTGTAGGCGTCCATAACACTGTTAATGACAGATGCATGTGGGAGGTTGCGTCGTCTTCTTCTAGTATGGCAGACATCGGTGCCTGACTGTTGATGCCCAGAGGCACGTATGGGGTTTTACCATGTTCGCCTGGTATGGTAAATGCCGGCGTTCGCAACACTGTTGATGCCCAGATGTATGTGGGTGGAGCCTTACCGTGTTTATCTGGTATGAGAGTTGATGGCGCCCACAATACTATAGGAAAATATTGGCGCCCACAACACTGCTTGGGTTCTGACATGCCAGGAAGGTTGCAGGGTACTGTCCTGTAGGTGTACAGGGTACGATCCTCGGTATTGCGGTTGACTTGAGTGCCCTGCCTTACGTGCTCCGTCCATTTCCTGGTCCTTACCGAGCGGGCATCCCCGGTCGGTTGGTCCCAGTCGGCTCCGACTACGTTAGTCGGAGAAGAGCTGTAAGCAGGGGTTCAGTGCGTCTCTAGTCGAAGACGTGAGTTAGAGTCAGAAGTGGTGTTTGGCCAGGCCTTCCAATCGGAGAGGCGGGTCGGAGTCAGAAGCGAGCGTTGTTCCTCCTTGGCTAGGCCTTCCGGTCGGAGAGGCAGGCTGGAGTCGGAAGCAAGTGTTGTTCCTCCTTAGCGAGGCCTTCCGGTCGAAGATTGAATTGCTCTTCTGGCCGATCGTTTAGGTGTTTGGGCTGGCCTAGGAGTTTGCGCGTCGTTCGCAACGTCGTCTACTGGGCCGAACTTTTGCTGGGAAGCCGGTCCATGAGGGACCCCAGGTTTATGAACCCAACATGACCGCTCCCTGCACGATGCCAAAAGTTTGACCTTAAGTGGTACTTTCTAGCCCGTAGTGGTTGGCGCTGACGTGAGCTTCTGTTAGGAACTGTGTTCGAGGGATCGGCCGAGGCAGAGCCGACCCTTAGGGGTCAGCTAAGGCGGATCCTACCCTCAGGAGTCA